GTCTGTCCGTCCGTCCGTGTACACGATAACTCGAGCAAAAATTGAGATATCTTAACGAAATTTTGCATGTAGGTTTCTGTTAATCCAAGGTAGGTTGGTATTGAAAATGGGCGAAATCGGACTGTAACGGAATGTAGACGAAAACTGAGAATATTATAAATTTTTGGAAAATGGGCGTAGCCACGCCCACTTATGGTTACATTTGTATATCTCGGTAACCGCTGCACCAATTTCTTCCAAACTTGGCACAGTGGTTGGCCTTGGTACAGTATACTAAATGGCCGAAAATTTAAAAAATCGGACAGTTACCACGCCCACATCCCATATAACGGTAATTTAGAGAAATACAAAGTCTTCGATAAATCAGTAAATATTAAAGCTAATTTATTCAAAATTGATGCTTGCAACAATTCTTTACCAAGAAATACGTTTATGGTTAAATTTTGGAAAATGGGCGTGGAACCGCCCACTTATGATCACACATATATATATCGTTAACCGTTCTACCAATTTGTACCAAACTCGGTATTTTTATTGTGCTTGCCACATAAAAGCAAAATTTTGAAAATTATTGAAATCGGACTAAAATTACGGCCGCTTTTCATATAACGCTAAATTTCAGAAATGCTTGAAACTGCAATATTTCGAAATTTAAGGACGCTAATTTACTCAAAATTGATATACCCCAGCTTACCACCTAGCGGTCGCTTTCGGAAAGGTGAAAAAACATATATTTAATACTTGCGCCGGGTATTTCATGTTCGGTTCCACCCGAACTTAGACTTTCTTACTTGTTTATTTTGAAGTCAAAAAATATTTAGAGGTCGCTCAAAGTTTTCCATGTATTTTTATATGGGAAAACAATTTTTTTCGTAGAGATGGTATAGAATTCTTGAAAGTCAATATTTTTCGATCGGAAAACTCTGGTTCTCTTCAGGAGACTTTCAATAATAATACCCAATTGTCTATTTAACCATTTTTTAATACTAACGATTTTTTATTAGTCGCCCCATTGCATTTTTCGGGGTTTTTGGCGGACCTATACATTATACTTGCAATGAAAAAATGGTTAAATAAACAATTTCGTATTATTACTGGGAATCTCTTGCAGATAAACAGAGTTTTCTGGTAAAAAAAATATTGATTTTTAACTATTCCATACCATTTCTATGAAAAGTTGTTTTTTCCCCATATAAAATACGTGGAAAACTTTATGCGCTTTGAGCGACCTGGAAATATTTTTTGTTTCAAAATAAAAAAAATAAGGCTATATATTTTCGGTATAGAACAATCCTAGGGGGTGAGTGCATAAAAATCGCGACTTTACTTTTTCACATGCATTTTTGGACCATCCTAGTGTGCACTGCACACGTCTGTTTTTTGTTTTTGTTTGTTTGGCCTTAGAACAATTATATTCAACAATTTTATTGAGCTTGAGGCCTTTTTTAATGAAAAACTATTGTGGAGTTGCGGAGTGGAAGCGCGCACTGCTTACCACTACACCACAGCGGCCGACAATTAGAAAGCTTGCTTTAAAAATATTTTATTTTACTATTAACTTATTCAACTTTTTTATTTCTTTAAATCTAAATAGTAAATACGGATCTGTAGAGAACATATATATATATCGTCGTTTAAAGTGCAAAACCGCGTATCAACAAAATGCAAAACCGCGTATCAGCAAAAATGCAAAACCGCGTAATTGAACTTGTAGAAATTATTTTCTAGAGCGTAAAACACTCATATTTCAAAATGGTTCTCTTTTTATAAAGCAATCGCATTTCTGGCTAGTATATTTCAGGACGAATGGATAAGGATTGAGCAAAGAGCTTGTGTGAGCAAATCCAATTTTTGGCAGCCAATGTCAGTTACGCGGTTTTGCAGAATTACGATACGTGGTTTTGTACTTTAAACGACGATATGTATGTATATACCTCAGAACTTCTTCTGTTCGCCCATCCACCAGCACCAGGCACTCAATATTTAGATTCACGTAGGAAGTAGCAATATTTAAATTTAAACTAATTCAAGAATGAATTGAATAGAATTATAATCTTAATTGGCATGGCGAATGTCTAACGCTGACGAGATGACATGATAAGATTAGTAGCCTCATGGCTCTTTGGAATCCACCTTATGGGCAGTAGCGCCGGCGTATCCAGACGCCCCGGCGCCGCCGATTCTTTTTGAAGTTGAGCACGCCGCCGCCGCAAAGCATGTGGGCGTAAACCTCTAATGCACACTGTTCATCTTTTGAGAAAGCATCGTTTAAAGTGTATCCACTTTTTGGATTTTTAGGCGATTTCATATAAAATAACAATAAAATATATATATTTTCCTAACTTAAAATGCATCGAATAGATATCGGATACAGAAAAGGAAGTATTGGGTACGGAAATTTGTTTCAAGTATTAGGTACCAACAATTCAGCTCATCACTAGTCATCCTAAGGCCAAGCGGATAGCGGTACGCTACGGTATGCGCTTAGCACTCACCTTTAACTTTATGTATGTCTTGCTGACGCTTAGTTCCGCCTTTTGTCCATTCGCCGTCTCAGCAGATTTGTAGCAATCCTCGCTGGCGCCATGTTCCTCAAATTCCACGCGCTCTGTTTTGTGGTGACTTAAAAGCTCTATTAGCACTTTCCAAACTTTCGGCAAATTACCAATAATTTCTTGTGTCGTTGCAACTTTACTCATAGCTTCTGGATCGTGGATTTGCATTGTGGGCGATTCTGTTGTGGCATTGGCTGCTGGCAATTTCATCCGGTTGCCGGTGCTATTGCAATGATGCCTTCTACAGCAGGAGGTGGTAGGGGCAGCAGTGGGTATAGCTTTCACAGTCTTGTCATTGGGGTTGTTGTGGCCTGTCGCAGCAATGTCAAGTGCAGTTATGCGGCTAGGCGAAGTATCTTCTTCTTTAAAGTTGTGTTCTTTTATCTCGTCCACGCTGTATATTCTAACGGGAGCACCTCTATGCTGGTCGAACTCCTCGTCGCCTTCAGTTATGTAAATAGATGTAGGAGTTGGACTGCGAATGCCCCCCTCAGCATTGCCACCTATCGCTGCTTGTTCAACTAATTCGAATAATAATGTTGCCAACATTGCGCCATCGGAGCAGTTTGCTTCTTTGGTTGTCATGTCGTTCAGCAACCCGCGGTTGTCTTCCAAAATCATTGTGAGTCGATCAATATCCAAGTTATTTTCACCGTTGAAACCCATCACCAGCTGGCTAAAGAGCTGTAAAGAAACAAAATTGGTTAATTGATTGCAACAGCAAATGAAGAAGACTAGCAACGGCAGCAGCATAAGCATCGAAGAGGAGCCTGAGAGTATGGGTAAGTATGCGTAAATATTTAAGTGGATGGTCGTGTGTTCACTGGCTTGGGAAAAATGTTCTTAATTACAAAGAAGCCCCGTGCTTTTTTATACCCGAGCGCACTTGTGCACAAGGGTATATTAATTTTGTTCACATAACGGTTGTTTGTAACAGCCAAAACGAATCGAGATAGATATAGACAAATGTATACATAAATGATCAGGATGAAAAAAGAAATCGATTAAGCCATGTCTGTCTGTCCGTCTGTCCGTCCGTCCGTGTACACGATAACTCGAGCAAAAATTGAGATATCTCAACGAAATTTGGTATGTAGGTTTCCCTTAATCCAAGGTAGGTTGGTATTGAAAATGGGCGAAATCGGACTTTAACCACGCCCACTTCCCATATAACGGTAATTTCCAGAAATACGAAAACTGCGATATTTTAGTAACTACTGAAGATAATTCACTCAAAATTGATATTTACAATAATTTTTAGACGAAAAATAAGAATATTATAAATTTTTGGAAAATGGGCGTAGCCACGCCCACTTATGGTTACATGTGTATATCTTGGTAACCGCTGCACCAATTTCTTCCAAACTTGGCACAGTTGTTGGCCTTCGCATAACATACCAAATGGCCGAAAATTTTTAAAATCGCTCAATAACCACGCCTACTTCCCATATAACGGTAATTTTCAGAAATGCCACAACTGCGATATTTTAGTAACTATTGAAGATAATTCACTCAAAATTGATATTTACAATAA